CCTTATATATATATATATATATAACATTTTCTAATTAAATGACTGCTTAAAAAATTACATCATCTCCATATATGCTATTTTTAAATAAAAAAGTTATAAATTATTTTTAACATAAAAAAAATGATAGAACACTAAAATAGTTCTCAAAATTAATTGAAAAATGATATGTTGCAGTTCCTAATAGAGACTCACCCACCTCCAATATTATATAAGTGATATGTTGAAGTCTTAATAGAAACTCATCCAAAAGATTATTGTACATGTGTGAAACACAATCCACAAATAATTTCATTCAATTGTAGTTAATCAGGTTACTTAACACTAATAAAACTCTCCAAAAAAAGATTTGTCTGCCAAGTGAAAAAAAAGGTGATATTAGAATATTCAACTTATCAATGAAGAGGTAATTTTTAGTTACTTGTGTCAACCTATGTTATCTAATATTTTATAAATAAGGATGAAAATTCAAGTGTATATGTAAAATATTATTCAGTTTGAGTCATGCTTTAGAATATAAATTGTAACAACATGTTTTATATTGTTGTATGTTGTTTTCTTATGTGTTCATAAAAAATATATATAAAACAAAACAAGTTGTTTTCTTATGTTGGGGAGAGGGGTTAATGTTGAGATGACTCTGTACTTAAGTTATAGAAGATATAACTTAAGTGTGTGACAGTTGGCCTGAGGAGAACTAGGGTATTAAGGCGAATTTTGATAAATGAATTTCATAAGTTCATAATTTTATAATATTAAAAAGAAGTTAAAGAGATGTATTATGGAAACAACGGAATTTGATCTTCGATTTGATTCCATCGACAAATTTCTTTTCTTCCCTTGATCAATATTTTAAGTTGTAAAAGTTGATACTTAAGCTAAGGAGCTAATAATTTTATAGAGAAGTCATCATATGAAGTGTTTTGGGGTTCTCCATTCTTTTCCTTTTACCTTGATTCCTAAAGCAATTGAGATAAGGAAAGTTTGTAGAATGATTTTTTATTAGAGTATGTGTTGATTTCTATGTTGTTTTGCCCATTAGTGCCATTTATGTTGATAATGGATGAATTTCCTGATGTTGGGTGTTGTGATTTTTGAAGGTTGAAGATGGATTGATGGTTTTGAGTTTGTTAGTTGTTGCATGTGATGTTTTTAAAGAGTTTTGAGTTGTATGAGGAGTAGAGAATAAGAATGATGGGATGCATGTGTCGATTTTGATGTGGTTAACTAGATTTTGTTGAGAGAGGGTGATTTCCATGGAGGAACATCACATTCTCGTTCAACTAGAAGTTTAAGGTCTCTTAGTATTCATGAATAGATGAAGAACACCAACTCATTTTTGGTATTTTCACTCAACATTGAGTTTTGGTCACTTAGTGAGGAGCCAAAGAATACTCGCCTTGCTCAACTAGAAAATGATCGCTTAGCGAATAGTTGATGGCCAAATTATGTTTTGTGGTCTTCATCAAAGTTGTAGCCTTAATTGTTAGCTTTCCAATGGATTTGGAATCACCCAAAAAAAGAGATCTAGAACTCAAGTTATGACTTTTTTAGTGAGCAAAGGTCAAGCTATCAATTTTAAGTTAAACTATTGCAATTTTTGTGATTTTCAAGCTTGCCCAGTGAAAAAACTCACAGAGAGTGAGAGTTCATCTGAATCAACAAGCTATGATTATCCAACAAGAATACCTACAAGGGGCTCAGCTCGCCCAACAATGCTTTGCTTGCCTAGTGAAGGGAGCTACAACAAGCTTTCTTCGTTGAGTAAGAATATCTTTCCTAGCGAGATTCCTCTATTTGATTGTTTTATCTCTTGAAGTTGGTTTTTGATGAGATGTTTGTTGCACCCCGAAAATTTTCGATCTCGCGACTAATGGTTTAGACATCCTTTTGAAAATCTCATCAATTAAGGAATGTCCGGACACCAGACTAATCCTTAATTAATGATTTTGAAAATAGGTTCATGGAGTCGCCACCAATGTTTTACTCAAAATATTGGAAAAGGAAAAGGTTTTTAAAAGTCCAATAATGGCCTTAATAACCAGAATTGGGTTCGGGAGTCGGTTACGTGTATGGAAGGTATAATTGGTACCCTATGATGAAATTAACACGATAAGAATTAATAAATTAAATATTGAATCCCCTTTATTAATGTTTATTTACATGCTTAAAATATAAATTAAGCGATTAACCCTAAAATATCTACATTATGACGTTTATTATAACAAAAAAAAGATAAAGATGAGGAATAAAAGGAAGAGAAGAAGATTGACTGAAATACCTCTTGAACAAGCTTTATTGCATCTTCAAATATGGAGAAGGTGCTTTGTGGCGACCTTTCACACTACAGTATGCCTCGCAAATCTCAAGAAATACAATAGGAGGGAGAGAAAAGATAAAGATGCGACACAAATCTCAAGAAATACAAAAGAAAGGAGAGAGATAGAGAATTTTCGTGCTCAAAGGAGTCTTATTCAAAATTTCTCTGGCCGCCTTGAGAACTGTGCCCGAGGCTTCTATTTATAGGAATCAGAAGGGGGCCAGAACAGCCCATTCCGGATTTGGAACGGCTCGTTCTGGGACAATCATTATGTGCAAATTACGCACCCTAGAACGGCCCGTTCTAAAAATAGAACGGCCCATTCCAGAGTGGAAACTAACACAAAGTTCCCCTTTCCAGAATGGCCCGTTCTAAATTTGACTTGTTTGGAACGGCCCGTTCTGGTATTGGAACGGCCCATTCTGGTATTGGAACGACCTGTTCCAGACTAGCACTCTTAGGTGTTTTAGCCACGTTGGAATGGCCCATTCCAGACTAGCACTCTTAGGTGTTTTAGTCACGTTGGAACGGCCCGTTCTGATATTGGAACGACCCGTTCTGATATTGGAACGACCCGTTCTAATATTGGAACGGCCCGTTCCGATTTTGGAACAGCCTGTTCCAGGTTACTAAAACCATCATATTTGGCCTTTAGGCCTTCTGATGTCCTATCTTATTGTTTGCCTGCTTCGGAAGCTCTTTCCCTTCATAACGGAGGTCGATTTCCGTGTTTGTGTGCCCCGGGACGAAATTGGGTGTCTATAGCTGCCCCTCTTTACTTGTCCTTTGGAGTAGCTATGTGTTGCTTTTCCAAAGGCAAGTAAAGACATAGACATTTCGTCCGGGTCTCCTCCTCGTCTCTTTGGTGTTGGCGCTTCTACGTTCCTTCTCTTGGATAGGTGTATTTGCTCATGTCCTCGTCCTTTAGAGCAATTGAGTGTTGGTTGCATACTTTATTGGGTAACAAGGCTGACGAACTGTACACTTGATCTTCGATCTTCAAGTAGATGCTTCATTCTTTCTCTTGTGATAGTGCGCTCTTTTATTTGTAGCTTGTTGAAGAGGGAGTATTTTCGTAGCTCAGCTTCCCTCACGGCTTTGTCGTATATCAGATTGGGGGATGACTACAGTCTCTCCAGACCTTTCCCTCACGGCTTTGTCGTATACCAGATAGGGATGTGAGTACAGTCTCTCCAGACCTTTCCCTCACGGCTTTGTCGTATACCGGATTGGGATGTGAGTACAGTCTCTCCAGACCTTTCCCTCACGGCTTTGTCGTATACCAGATTTGGGATGCGAGTACAGTCTCTTCAGACCTTTCCTTCACAGCTTTGTCGCATACCGGATTAGGATGCGAGTACAAT